AGTCAGTTAATAAACTTTGTAGTGGATTGGTCCACGTCCACATGTATTACGATAATATTACTAATTAATCAAATAAAAGTCATGGTCCGATCCCTTTTCTGCTATTTGGCCTTATGATGTTGGTAAAGGTGTGTACTGAATACGTTCTTGCTTCAGTTTCCGGCGCACCATTTTTCACACTTAATATGTTAGAATATAGTTAGGGGTGGCTATACGGTCCGGTCGGTCCGGTTAAATTGGCCCAAATTGATCCGGTCCAGTCCGGTCTTTTTGAAAATATAGGGACCAAAGCTTGGATTGGGTACGGTCTGGTTTTGACCCGGTCCGGTCCCAATCCGGTTTTGACCCATTTTGACCATGTTTCAGAAAATTCAGCAGCATATACCCATTTTCCTGAAATATAGACAATTTCACCATTCAATTCATCACTAATTAACTAAAATTACACATTAATAAAGTAAAACTACTTACCCAGCTGCTGCTCCCCTCCATTTCTCTGAGTTGGGCGGCTGTTCCCCAATAATCGAAGGAGGGCGACGAGATTGGACAGAGGGTCGGAGGCTTTTGGACGGCTGGTTGAGAGCACTGCCTCGTTGGTCGGAGGCTTTTGGACGGCTGGTTGAGAGCACTGCCTCGCTGGTCGGAGGCTTGGAGTGGAGGGCTGGAGGCACAGTCGTTGCTTCGCGCGGAGGAGAATCGGAGAGACAGTCGACAGTCGCGCGGAGGAGAATCGGAGGAGAATCGGAGCGGATGAGGCAGGCGCGGCAGTCGTTGCTTCGCGCGGAGGAGATTCGAAGCGGAGGTGGTGGGCTGGTCGCGGTCTCGCGGTCGGGGAGGAGCACTCGCTGGCGGCTGGTCGCGGTCTCGCGGTCGCGGAGGAGCACTCGCTGGGTCGGCGGCGGCTGCTGTGCGAACTGCGAAGTTGGTGCACACTGCTGCCGAGTCCGACTGCCGAGTGTGAACGATGGAGAAGAGGGTCAGAGGGCGACTGGCGTGAGGTGAGGCGTCTGGGCAAGTGGCAACCCTAGATGGACATTGGACTGGGCCGGCTGGGCCGCTGTGGGTAGTGACTAGTGAGAGTGGGCTTGTCTTGGCCCATATGGGCTTTGTCTTTTGGGTCTGGTCTGTTTTTTATTAATCCGGTCTTCCGGTTTTTACACGGTTTTGACCCGGACTGGATTGGTCCGGTTTTTTTGCTAATTCTAAGACCAAAGACGGGATTGGATTGTTTTACATCCGATCCCGGTCTTAAACGGTCCGGTTTATACGGTCCGGTTTCCGGTTTTTTATCCGGTCCCGGTCCAAATGGCCACCCCTAAATATAGTAACCAACTAGAGGCACTAGAGACCAGCAATTATGGAAAGTCTGGGGGTGGTAACCGGGTCTCAGAGGAATACCAAAGGAGCAAAATCGATGAATAATGCTGACGGTGCGGGGAACCGATCCCCTTCGGTACCCAAATAAAGCTTTTAAGCTATAATTGTCGTGGATTGGGGAGCACACGAGCAGTGAGATTCTTAAAGTCGCTACTGCGACAAGCTTCCCCACAGATCGTGTTTCTGATGGAAACGCGTCAACTGTGTGATGAGAATGAGGTGACTAGGAAGGCGCGAACCATGCACCATATTGATGTAAAAGTCGAAGATGTAGTGATAGGGGAATGGCGGTTCACGAGCGTGTATGGCTGGCCAGAAGGCAGTGAAAAGGAACAAACCTGGGCGATGATACGGCAGCTGGCAGCACAGTGGGCGGGGTCATGGCTGTGCGGAGCGGACTTGAATCAAGTCCTTGCGGGTTCAGAGAAGAAAGGTGGTAACCCGCCGGTTGAGGTGGAGATGAGAATGTTCTCTGACTGTCTTGTTGATGTAAATTTGCAAGACATTGGTTTCTCGGGCTATCCATACACGTGTGAGAATAGGAGAAGGAGGGGCGGTTATATAGAGGAAAGGTTGGATCGATTCTTGGCAAACGAGAGGTGGCGGGAGAAGTGGCCAAATGCTCGAGTAGTCCACCTAGATAGTACAAGGTCTGATCATCGACCAATCCTTTGTGAAACACTGGGTGAGGAAGATGAGGAGGTCAAGTGGGGGTGGTCATTCCGGTTCAAACTTCACTGGTTACAACATGAAGGCTGCAACCAGACTGTAGAGGAAGCATGGAGCTCAGGGACGAGAGATGTGTTTAGCAAAATCAGTCAAATGAGCAAGAAGTTGGACAACTGGAGTTGTACGGATTTACCTGATTTCCGTAGGCAGAAAGCTAGAGTTAAAAGATCGTTGCAAGCTCTTGAAAGATGCGAGCAGTCAGATGTGATTCTAAATCAGAGACAACAGCTCCAAACCGAGTTGGAAGACATGGAATGTGATGAAGAAATTTTTTGGCAGCAACGATCCCTGGTGGATTGGCTAAAAGAAGGGGACAAGAACACGGATTTTTTTCATCGGAAAGCATCGGCACGGAGGAGAAGAAACACTATCAGAAAGATAAAAGATGAGCTGGGACAATGGTGGATAGGCCATGAATAGGTTTTCTCATGTCTCACAAACTACTATGCTGGTCTATTTACGGCAGGGGAGCGCCCAATTATGACCCCGGTTCTTGATTCCATTCGTTCGCAGGTATCGGTGGAAGCAAATGAGAGGCTGACCAGTCCGTTCACAAAGGATGAAATTTTCATGGCGCTAAAACAGATGGGTAAGAAAAAGGCTCCGGGAGCTGATGGTTTTTCGGTCTTGTTTTTCACAAAATATTGGGGCCTTGTGGGAGATGAGGTCGCGACAACGCTGCTGCAAATTTTGGAGCGAGGGATGATGCCGAGTGACCTTAATCATACTCTCATTGCACTTATTCCGAAAGTGAAGGACCCGCAAATGGCGAAGGACTTTTGTCCCATCAGCTTATGTAACGTGTTGTATAAGTTGATTGCGAAAGTTCTGGCCAACCGCTTGAAAGTGATATTGGATGGGATAATCTCTCCTGAGCAGAGTGCGTTTTTTCCCAGGTAGATTCATAGCGGATAACGTGATGACTGCTTTCGAGTGCTTCCACATGATGAAGATAAAGTCAAAGAATAAGAAAGGATACTTTGCAGCAAAGACTGATACGGCGAAAGCATATGATCGAGTGAATGGTGGTTTTTGGAGGGGGTGATGAGAAGGATGGGGTTCTCGGAAAGATGGATTGGCCTGATAATGATGTGTTTTCAGTCAGTAACATACTATATTCTTGTTAACGGGCACCGTTCGGAGCAGATTGTGCCAAGTAGAGGGCTGAGGCAAGGGGACCCTCTCTCCCCGTATCTTTTCTTGCTGGTGGCGGAGGGATTAAGCTCCTATACTTCGAAGGCGGTGGAGGAGAAGAAGATTCATGGGATATCGGTGGCAAGGGGAGCACCGGTGATTTCACATCTTTTTTTCGCTGACGACTCCATATTTTTTGCCAGGGCTACGGTTCAAGAGAGCAAAGAACTTTGGCGAATCCTTCAAGATTATGAGAATGAGTTGGGTCAGCTTGTAAGTCTGGAGAAGTCGGAGGTTACCTTTGGTGGCAGTGTGAAGCCGCATCAACAGCTTCAAGTGAGTTCAGTTCTTGGTATGCGTCAAGTAGAGAAGCACAATAAGTACCTGGGACTGGTCACGGAAGTTGGGCCGTCTAAGAAAGCATTGTTTACATATCTGAAGGAACGAGTTCGGAAGAAGCTGGCAAGTTGGAAGGAACGGGTGATGTCGGTGGCAGCAAGGGAAGTACTGATAAAGTCTGTGGCACAGGCTCAACTAACGTACATGATGTCTGTGTTTCAAGTTCCGGAGGGCATTATCGATGACATACATGGACTTATTACCAGGTTTTGGTGGGGGCAACGAGCTGAGGAGAAACGAATTCCATGGATATCGAGGGAGGAACTGATTGTGCCAAAGGTGGACGAGGGTATTGGCTTTCGGGATCTAAGAGGGTTTAATACGGCTCTCCTTGCGCGGCAACTTTCAAGACTGCATAGCCGACTAGATTTTCTCATATCCCGAGTGTTGAAGGCCAAATATCATAAAAAAAGGGATTTTGGACGCAAGTGTGGGATATCGTCCGAGTTATGTGTGGCGGAGTTTGATGAGTGCTCAGAAATTCCTTGTGAGCGGATTAAGGTGGCGCATAGGTAATGGACCGCAGGTAAGGGTATGGGGTGATCGGTGGATCCCCACTACTCCTGGTTTCATAGTCCAATCGCCTCCTATGGGTATTCCGGTTGACTCGACTGTCCGGGAGCTGATTGATGAGGAGTCCGAGCAATGGGATAGGGACTTAATTGAAAGCTGCTTTACAACAGCAATGGCGGAAGCCATCATCCGAATTCCTTTGCGTGGACACCTTAAGAAAGATCAATTAATTTGGGTGGAGAGTAAAGGCGGATACTACTCAGCGCAGGAAGGTTACAAGAAATGGCTGCAGGATTTCCGAGCGGACAGGTGCCGACGGGGGATCCAAGGTTATGAAAACAACTGTAGGGAATGAATGTGCCGCCAAAGGTGAAACACTTATGTGGCGTTTTTCCCGAGACTCTTTAGTGACAGGGGATCATGTGAGTGCTCGTAGTGAAAGACGAGGAGATGCTTGTCCATTTTGTAACATGAAGGAGACCCAAGTACATATTTTTGGAGAATGCGCATGGGTATGCAGGCTGTGGAGAGCATCTCATGTGGTGCATTGTTTTGACATGAGAAGTGACCTATATAGTTTGGATTGGGTGACGAAGGTGGCGCAGTCAGTGTCGGAGAAGGATTTCGAAGATTGGAGTATGCTTTTGTGGATGCTATGGAAAGAGAGGAATGCGCATATGTTCAACGGAACAAAGTTGCCAGAAGATGATATTATACCATGAGCGGTGTCATTATTGAAGGAGTATAGGCAGCAGCAAGGTGCTAGATTGCCGATGCAAATACGGCCAGTGGAGAGAAGATGGAAAAGACCAGACATGGGGCGCATAAAAATCAATATCGATGCTGGCATGTTTGCAGGTGGTTGCGGCTTAGGGGTGGTGGCTCGTGACTCGAACGAAATATTCTTGTTGGCGGCAGTGAAAAGAATCAAGGGAGAACATGATCCTCAAATTGGCGAGGCGTTAGCAGCCGAGTTTGGCCTGCAATTTGCCCGACAGCATCAGCTGAGAGTCGCCGTACTTGAGACGGATTGCTTGTCGGTGGTTAACTGCGTCAGAAATGCGGCTAATGATCAGACGGAGTTTGGAGTGGTTTGCTGGAGCATTCATCGACTGCTTGAGGAGACAGGGGATGGAGAGTGTAAGCATGTTTCTCGGACAGCGAACGAAGCGGCACATATAATGGCGCATTTGGATACAAACTGGAATGTATCTGAGGTTTGGTTCGACCGACCTCCTATCTGTTTACTTAACCAGCTGGAGCTGGATTCTGTAATGGTTGATCATGATTAATACAGCCTAAAGCAGATTACTATAAATAAAAAATAGTAACCAACTAGAGTGGGTCCCGGCCAGTTGGCCGGAGGAAGGTGAGATATGAAATTTGATAATGTAATGGGGTGTATAACTTATTGTTGTATAGTTTTTTTTTTGGGAAACACGAAATAAAAATAGTGAATTTTAGTAGGAAAGAGACATGAATGATGCAAGGAATAAAAAATCAGCTTTATGAACCAAAACCAAGTACCTGTTACCTTGTGAAACAATATTGTTTATGGTAATATGATGAGGTGGAGTAAGTTTTGTAGAAATCGAATTTCAGAAAATCGAATAGAAATAGCCTATCCCCCTGGTTTTCGAAAAATGAGCATATCACAATCGTTGCTAGCTTTTACTTGGCCCGTTGGCCGATTAATTTGCTTTATAAAACTTTCATCTTGTCGTTATTGTGCTTTCTGATTTTTGCCAAACCATGATAAAATCTAAAGAAATCAAGAATGACCAACACGATTTGGGATAGGAACCGTCGTTCCTGTATCCCTAGAAAATGTTGGTAAACACGGACTCACCGGCCAAACTGGTTTGCATTGGGATTTTTATCGGGCATCAGGGAACCATGTGATTATAAATTTGACTTGATCAAAACGGGGCAAAATTTGAAATTCAGCTTGTTTGACCGACCAATGCCAAACTCTAATTATTCTTTACTTTTAAACTTTCTATTTTGAAATAAAAAATAGTAAAAGAAAAGAGATGACTGCAATTCGCCATTTGCACATCACTGATTTGGGAATAAAACCATAGAAATTGGAAAGGAAACTGAAAATGTTTAGAATCGTTTTAATGTTAAAAATAACCATATAGATCTTTTTGTTTAGTTTTTACTAACAAATACCAAACGATCCCCTATAAAATACACTATAATTTAATCATTATGATATCAAATAATTACATAATATATATTCAAAATGATAAAAATTGGACTAATTGGGTTGGTCGAGGTTGAACCATTGAATAACTTTAAAACAAATTATATTTTAGCCACTAAAATATAAAATAATAGCATAATATATATTATGCTAGAGAAAATAGCTTGTTCTAGAATAGCAAAACCATGATGTTCATTTGTTTTATTTGATGGCCAAATCCCGTGTAGGTCAGACACATTCAACTCTTTTATTTTATGGTTAGCCCATTAGAATTCATGCATTAGTTTATTGTTAATTTTTTTTAGCAATAAAAAGGAGTATTTTTTTTGCCTTTTCATATATATTTTACCACCACGGAGAAATAAAAGGGCTTAAAGAAAAAAGTTGACACTCCTCGACTCGTTTAAATCCGCATGTGTACGGTAAGTTGGCCTGTTCCACAGAGGAAAAAGAAAAAAAATGACACTCTCTATTCTGAGGAATTTTACAATGCTTTAAAGCATTGGTGCTTTAGTTTTTGCCTTTATGGTACAACTTGAAGTTATACCTTTAACGTTATGGTACAACTTTAGGTTGTACCTATACACTTTTGTAAAATCCCTTTATGGTACAAACTAAAGTTGTACATTTAAGTTATGGTACAACTTGAAGAGTTGAAGTTGTACCACAACATAAAGATCAAATTCCCTTATGATACAACTCTAACTTGTATTTAACGTTGTGGTACAACTTAAAGTTGTACTTTAAAGCATAGTAGAAAGGCTCCTCTATTCTACCCTTCCTACAAATGCTCCTGGAGTAGAGAATTTGAAATGGGGGAAGAGTTTTTTCCTCTCTGCTATTATATGTTTTTAATTTAAAAAGATACAACAAATGTACTTAGTGTGATTGGTTATGATCTTTGCTTTTCTTTAAAGTGGTGATAGTTTGAATCCTAGTATGTGTCTTTTTAATGAATAAAAAATAATAATTGTAAAGACCAAAATGTCCTTCCTACTTTCACTCTCGTTGCAGCAAATTTGAAATGGCCCAAAATGTCCTTCAAAGGGCACAATAGGCTCACATAGTGGAATTAGGTGTTAACAAGAGCTTGGTAGATCATCAGAGAGCTCATTCGTTGCAAAATTGATCATGAATGGTTTGAGCTCATGGTCATGTAAAATTAGTACATGTTTACCATGAAATTTTCTCTTTGGAAAACAGTACAACTATTCATTTCTTTTTTCATATTGATGTAAAAGTTTGTATATATGAATATGATCTTTTGTATTTGTGAACAAATAATCAGTTGAAACATAATTGATTTTTTTTTTTCATGAATGGGTGAGATTTTATTCATCATACAATCAGCAACCAAGTCACAATCTGACAACAACAAGTTGACTGCTAAGAAACTAAGCAGCACTGCCATCTACCTCGCTACAAAAGCCTATTAGTTACATGACTTATACCACAAAATAGAGCTGGAAACAGACTCTAAGATTCTGGGATCACCAACCTCCTTTGCTTCCATCACCCTCTGCATCTTCCTTGTGATTTCAATAACAGACATTTGCTTGCCTCCATAAAGCCTTCTGCATCGCTCTCTCCGGATCTCACTCACCACCAGACACCAAACCATTCTGCCAACCAAGCACTTTTTGAACCTCTGACTTGCTACTGTCACTGCTCGCTGCAGGGTTCTTGAAACTGGGAAAGACCAGGGCACTGGGAACACGACAGACCAAACTTCATGCACATACTTACACAAAAAGAAAATATGGCCTCTTGACTCAGGCTCTTGGCCACAGAGGGAGCACTTCAGATCAACTTCAGGACTCCAACGTTTCACCACATCAAGAGTTGTTATTCTGTCAATCACAACCAGCCATGTGATTACTAAATGAATTATTTGAATTTGTACTATGAATAGTTGTATATGTCTTTGTTGATGTCTAGGTTGATCGATCCATTTAATATTTTAATTCAAAATTTACATGTTTGTTAAATTTTATTTTACTAATTATAGATATACTAATGATTAAATATGCAGGGTGTATATATAACCACAATATCTGTAACGTTAGAGGATGATGTTGTTAAACCTCTCATCACGTGAGTACGAGTAGGGATGGAATATCATATCCGACCCAACGGATTTTTCCCGATCCGAACCGTGATGGGGCGGATAGAATCCGACCGGCCTTAGAACAGGGTGGATCTTGACTCGTTCCGTTGTTATTACAGGTCGGACATGGATCTTCACAGCTAACCCACTGTGCTCTGCTCCGCTCTGCCCCATCGTATAATCCCCTACGAAGCTCAACAAAAAGACCCAGTCCTAGACACCCATTTCACTCGACGCGATTCATATTCTCAGAGAGAGACCTAGCTAGCTAGTGATCCTCCTTCCATCAATGCCCATGAATAAACCCTACACCCGAGAAACTTATCTTCCCAAAATCCAATCCAACCATCCCATGCCCACCCTATGTCTTCATCATCGGTTCATCTTCCATTCTTCCTCCACCAATTCCCAAGGACTCCTTCTGTCCTATAATTATATGTATACCAGAGATCTGAAGACGAATGACTCACTTAGAGCTACTGCCACTTCCCTCTTCATCGTTCTGTTCTTCTTCTTCTTCTTTCGATAAAGCCATTGGAGGGGAACCAAAGAAAGTAAGGAAGCTCACTTATTTCCAGCAAGGCACTCAACCATCTACAGTTTTAGGTAAAATCAATCACCTATTTCTCTATTGTTCTGTTTGGAATGTTTATTGTGGGTGAGATTTCTCCAATTCATGACCATATTGAAGTAAATGAATTGCCCATCTTGCACTTTTTGATTATGCAGTACATGGACAAGGAAGGGCTTGTACAGAACATGGACAAGGAAGGGCTTGTACAGAACATGGACAAAGAGGGTCCTCAAACTCATTCTACGGTTCTGGGTTTAGAGGAAACATCTTCCCTACCTCAACCTGTTGCTCCTCAACCTGACGTTATACATGTAGTTGCTGAATCCCCCCTGCAAATACAGATGATCATGAGTAACGCAAGGGTTCTACCTTTGGTAAGGTGTTTTGAGAGTGGTGGAAACACTACAATAAGATGACAGTGGATGGCAAGTCAAAAGTCGAGTGCAAGTATTGTAAGAAGAGGTTGGTTGCAGACCCATCAAAAGGAACAACTCATCTGAAGAATCATTACCATCGATGTCCTAAAGTGAAGCGGCCTGGAGATATAAAGCAACAACTCTTACAAGGAAATCTGAACAAGGAGAAATTCCAATTGACACTATTCAACTTCAACCAAGAGAATTCTCGAAAGGGATTGGCTCAGGCAATTATAAAGCATGAGTATCCTCTCTCAATCGTAGAGCATGAGGGTTTTAAGAGTTACATCATGAGTTTGAATCCACTAATATGTGGACATGAAAAACAAGTTGCAATGGAGCTTTTGAGGAAGAACGAAGGTCGAGTGGCAATAACCACTGATATGTGGACATCTTCTCAGAAGAATGGTTTCATGGCAGTGACTGCACACTATATCGATAAGAATTGGACTTTATAAAGTCGAATTATTAGGTAATTTGTTGTGTTCATTCCCTTAAAGTCTATGATTACTACGTTGTATTCCCTTATTATAATATGTGAGTACTAATGGCCTACTGCCTTGTTTTACAGTATGTGTAAAGAGATGTGATTATTCCTTACTTCAATTATTACTACTGCCTTTTGAAATTTGATTTTATTACTTGCACTATTGCCTTGTGATCTCTACCCAGTATTATTGCCTTGTATAATTACTACCCAGAACATGTTTAAGTTTAATTGAGTGGACTGTTTATTTGTACTACTTCTTTGTAATTACAACTAATAAGTAAGATAACGTTTGAATCCCTGTTGCCGGCTTGTTACGATTGTGATTACTTTAGGTTTATTTCCTCCTTGTAAATGTAATTACTTCCTTGTAATTACAACTCAGAAGTCGGATAACATGTTTAAATTTATTTGAGTTGATGTGATTACTGTACTTGTACTCCTTCATCGTGATTACTACCCAACACTACTACCTTGTAAATATAATTACTACCCAGAA